TCCTACATCTTTTTGACATCTAGCTTTAGAGTATAAAAAAATGAAGTGGAATGATAATATTTATGGCCTGTTTTGACTTGTCTATAGGTTATCCATCAATTTAGGAGAATTGTTACTACTTTTTAGTAACAGTAATCCCTTATAAATATTACCCATTCAGTCCTTTACTGATTAAAATGAAACATTTTCTAGTTGTGTTTTTTGTTGTTGTTGTTGTTGTTGTTGTTGTTTGGGTTTGAGTTTGGGTTTTGGCTTCCAGTGTAATTTTGTTTGTTAGCTTGGTTTTTGGGTTTTAGAGATAGGCTCTTGCTATGTAGCCCAGGCTGGCCTCGAACTTGCTGCAGTCCTCCCACATTAGCCTCCTGAGTGCTGGAATTATAGTCATGAGCCACCATACCAGGCTTCTAATCAATTCATAATCATAAAAACTAAGTGAGTCATGGTACCTCATTTATTGCCTGTTCTGCCCCATTTATACAATACTGGTTTCCTCAGTGTCTTACCCTGTCTGAAATGCTCATGTCCCAGGTCATCACGTTTGAATTTGCATTGTATTCAGAACTAAATTTAAAAGTCACCTCTTACATGTTGCCATTCTTGATGTGCATTTCTAAAACATTATTTCCCCCTTTTTCCCCTGCATTCATGCTGCTGTAATTTTTTTCACTGCATTTATCATTAGTTTATATCTTCCTGGCTAAAAAATAAGCTCCAAGGGGCCGGGGATTTAGCTCAGTGGTTTCGCCGCCTGCTGTGCAGGTGCAAGACCCGAGTTTGATCCCTGGGACCAAAAAAAATAAAAATAAAAGTAAATAAGCTCCATGAAATAGGGATTATTACTGTATCTCCAGGGCCTGGAATAGTACCTGAATATAGTAGGAGCTTAATAAATACTTATTGAATGAAAGAATTTGATATATTCTTTTGCCTTCAGCTTAAGTGGTGTCAAATAATAGAGAAATTAAGCTTACATCGAAGGAACAGAATCTTTTGTTCCATAAGCATAAGTAAAACATTTTGAGTTTCATTTTGATTGCATATATTTCAGCCAACATTCCCACTCTTTCTAAGGAGTAGACAACATATTAGGCAATAAGATGAAATGAGTGCATCATGTATGTGCTAGTGTTCAGGGATTTCGCACAAGAAACATAATGAAACAATATTGCATTATAAATGCTATGACCTAGTTATAAAGAAAATATTCTGCCAGCACAAAGAAAGGGCTCTTCATTTGTTTGAGAAAATGAAGTTTTCTTGATTAAAAATGGTTTGAAGCTAAGTAGCTAGTAATAAATCCCAAAAGTCACACCAATTCTTCCTACCTCCAGATACTTGCTTTTCATTTCTATCTTGTCATTAGAGAACAAATGAGGAATGACATTTGGTCTCCTCCAGAATACTAGGTTAGAGTGTTCAAGTATTAAAAAAAATTACCACCTTCCTAATGACTGTCTTCTTGGTAGTTCCATTTTCCTCATCTTATTCTAGCAAACATAGCCATGTGCCTTTCTCACACATGGCAAGGCTTGATAATTTAACCTATGAACTGCCCTTGGTACCTAACGATGAATAAATATAGTCATGTATAAATTGAATCGATTCAAAAAGCAACTCTATACATACTTTAGAATTTGAAGTGATTATTTTAGATCAATTATTCTCAAAATATGTTCCCTAGACCAGCAGCATTTAGGAATATGCAGGCACCACCCCTGACAGAAACTGTAGAAAGCCGAGGCTCAGCAGTATTTGTTGTAATAAAGCTTTGGTTATTCCAAAATTTGAGGGCCATTGTTTTAGATCATTTTGTATAAGTAAAATTTTTCCATTTAAATTTAATTCATTGTATATACCTCATTTTAGAGAAATTATAATATGATGTACTAAAATCAGAATATAAATCAACACCTGTATTTATTTCTCTTAGATTTACACTATCTCTAGATTAAATAGATTGCTTGAACTAGACTTTCGATTGTATAACTTGAGTCAGAAAATATACCACTTTGGGCTGGGGATTTAGCTCAGTGGTTCTACCGTCTGCCTCGCAAGTGCAAGGACCCCCCGAGTTCCATCCCCGGTACCAAAAAAGAAAAGAAAAGAAAATACATCACTTTCTTTCTTTTTCATGATTATATAACAGTCAGACTAGTTTAATAGGATAAGTTGGAAAGTGCTGTAAGAATCAAGTCACTGAATCTCGGGGCCAGTTGACAAAAAGTTGTGGGTTTTTGGGGGGGGGGACGTGAATAAAACATAAATTTATATTTTATTTCATTGACATTTAAGTTTGAAACTTTTTGTTTCTTTTTAGTCTCCTCTGTTTTAATTTGACTACTAAGGATTCATTCATGGTACTAAGCTATTTAAAGATTATCTGTAGTGATCTACTCCTTGTCTTTAACCAGCAGTTCCCTTCAGTGTGAAAAAGGCAACCCATTTTGCGCTTATCTTTTTCCACTTAACATTCTACATATATCCAGAAAGTGTTACAGACATAATTGAATATGTAAAGTGTCCTTTTCTGTATAGCATATATTTTTGGCATACATTTGAGTGCTTACAAAGTTACTACTGTAATTGTTTGATGTGTATTTGATATATGCATTGTATCATTCTTTGGAGATAGGAAGAGAAAATAGGCACTACTCACTAGACTGTTGATTTGTGCTGGGCTTGTCTTGCTTATATATTCATTTCCAAAACTTGTACATTTAGAAGTTTGTTTCTGATTGTTTACCTTTTACGAGAATGGTATTTGTGAAAGGTTTCCTGAATATAATTTTTAGTGAAATTAATACTTAATGATCAAAACTTTGGTATAAAAGGGATAAAGTTTTTATTCAACCTTGCAAATTTAATCTGTAGAAACACTGGCATAAATTTTGGGGTTGTATTTATATCTTTACAAAGCAGCATATTGTATGGGTTAAAATAAAAGCAGAAGCTCAACATAATACCTGGGTTCAAGTTCTGGCTTGAAACTTACTGTCTACCTTGGGCAAGTTACAAAATTCTGTGAACCTCACTGTGTTTATATGTGTAACAGTGATAAGAACAGTGCATAGCAAATGGAGACACTGTACATTTTGATATAATAATGGAAATAATAGTGGTGAAGATGCTACTGTTGTCACTGCCCCATGGGTTGTGTATTGTACTGTTATTTACAATAGCCGAAATAAATAAATAAATGTATAAAAGGAACATTTTTGAAAAGTTGGTGGGAAAAATTGGGTGCCTGGAGACTTTTAAGAAATGAGACCAGCTGGTGAAAGATTTGGCCATTTTCCCCTTGATGGTGGAGACCAGTGGAAATTGTATAAGTATGTTTTGTATAAGGTAGTGAGTGACATAAAAGTTTGTTGGGAAGTATTTTAGAGCTGGGGACATAGCTCAGAGGTACAGTACTTGCCTAGCAGGCACCAGGCACTGGGTTTGATCCTCACCCCAGCACTGTGAGGGAAGGAGCCAAATAGTATTTTTAAGAAGAAAAACCCTGGTGGCTGCCAAACAAGATACTGGAGTGAGGAGAGATAAGAAGTCAGTCACCAAGGAAGGAAGCTCTATGGAAGGTTAGGTAAAAGAGTTGGTGAGTATTGATGGCTAAATTCTTAGAGATGGATGGGATGGAGGGATCAATCAGAGATATAAATAAGTGGAATCTTCAGGAAGCGCAAGTGGGGAAGGTTTAATTTGTATCCAAGGAAGGTGTGGAATGAGGCAGTTTAAAAATGGTACAAAACTGGGGCTACGCTTCAGTGGTAGAATGCTTACCTAGCATGTGCAAGACCCTTGGTTTAATCACCAGCACTGCAAAACAGGGTCCATATGCTCAAACATGTTTGAAGCCTATAATGAAGGTCTTTTGAGATTGTTGGGTCTCCCTAAGGCATCCAGGGACTTGTTGATTTGTTCATTACCATGTATAGTCACATGGTATCGTAGGATCTTAGAATTTTTAAAGTTTAATTTTTTTGACCCATTTTACAATTTAGCCATTTTCACAATTAAGGGTACAATAGTAGCAAATCACTAGTATTCAGTTTTGAGGTTCTGCTTCATTGTAGGAGTGTTTGAATATTTTAATTATTTATTCTGGATCTCTCTTTCATTAGTATTACCTCCCCAAATCAATTGTCTGACTTCTGTAACCTTATGAAAGTAGCAAAATCTTAGAGCTAACTATATTCTTTAGTTATATCTCCCAGATGTTTATTTTTTATTCTGTAGCTTTGAAATGGTTTTGCTTCCCCTTTTGTTTTTAAGAAATTTGCCTTCCAACAGCTTTAGTGCTATATTTTATTGCCCTCTTTCAAACTACCAACAAACTTAAAACTTCAGCCACAATCCTTTATTCCTATTATTTTCTGGTCTGCTTTAAAATAAGCTTTAAAAAAAAACTATTGTTTTCGGTATTATAGTGTGTGTGTGTGTGTGTGTGTGTGTGTGTGTGTGTGTATAATCCAGTCACTTTAAAATGTTCATGAGGGCTGGGGATTTAGCTCAGTGGTGCTGCCGCCTGCCTTCGCAAGGCCAAGGTCCTGAGTTCGATCTCTGGTACTAAAAAAAAAAGTTCATGATACTTTAGATGTTCTGAAACACTTGCATGTATTTCTTTCTAAAGAACTTTGAAGTCTGTAATGCACGCTGTCACAAAACTGATTGGATTGGGGGTAATTCCCAGATCTGCAGCACTTCCTTGGTCTTATATTATCAGCAATAATTATTTGGATCACTACTTGCAAAAGGTTTTTTTTTTAGTATGACTTTTTCCCTCCTTACTGTTTCATTGGGTATGTTGATTTTTATTATTTGGTTGTTTCTTTTTAGTGGGGCAGGCTCAGGTATATAGGTTTACCTTCTCTGAACATAGGCTTAAATTTGTTTTAATGAATTGTTTTATGTCAAGATGTGTTTTTTAAAAAATCAGCACCCCTCCTTTTTTTAGGTACACCAAATCAAAACCAACCATGATTTTTTTTTCTGTATTGTAGGTCCTCTTCCTGATGGATGGGAACAAGCCATAACTCAGGATGGAGAAATTTACTATATAAATCATAAGAACAAGACCACCTCTTGGCTAGACCCAAGGCTTGACCCTCGTTTTGGTAAAGGTTCATCTCAAAACCTTTATTGACATTTTTAATTATAATTTTTTGTGTTTGAGTTTAGAAAACACATTTAAATAAAATTGTATTGACTCATAGTACTAAAATATAACGCCTACCCAGTGTTTCCTAGTACTGTTTTTTATCTTTCATTTTAAACTTGAGAAATTTAGGTTTAAATAATCTTTTTAGTCTGTGTTGGGGTGGGGGTCATAGTAGCTGACTAACCAGAATCACTGTCCCTTTCACATTTTGGGGAAGCCCAGCAACCTCTTTGAAAATGATCTTTGTAACTGTAATAATAATCAGGCTGTCATGTAACATCTAAAATGTGGAACATCAGCTTTTGTCAGTGACCTGGTGTCTACTTGTGCTTGAATTCTTAGAATGCTGAGCACCATTGAGTGCCTGGATGTTAGTGATTCCCATTCTAAGTGGGGAAGAGGGCTTGGCTTGCCTTAGAAGTGGTCTAATGAAAGCATTTTCCCTTCTTCTCTGTTGGCTTTTTTTTTTTTTAAATAATGGATCTTTATTTTTTATTTAAGAAATAAAAAGCAAGCCATATTCTCCAGATTACATAAATCACTATTTGCACAGAACTCTTCCCTCCCAAATGTGCACATTTTGATAAGCATATACAAGTTTTTCTGTGCCTTTCTAGCCATATTTTTTTTTTTTTACTGTTTCAATTTCTTCAGTTGGGTTTCTGAGATATTTTTCCAAAGCCATGGAAAATGAATTTAAAAAGAAGCAGATAATTGTGGTTTTGAAGCTCTCTTCTTGGACTAGATGCAACTAAATGAAAACAATGTGCAGATCACTGAGTAGGTCAGATGGAGGGGATGAGGAACCTTTGAAGCTTTACAGGGGTTGACCTAACAACAACTGTGGGGCCCTTACGGGAAAGAGGAATTAACTCTGTGAATGCCATCAAAACACAGCCCTGGGGAAGAAAGAAAAAACTATCTGGAGCTAGTTGGGTAAAATAACTTCCCCATCAGGAACTTTATGAACAGTTTTCCTGTGTCTTATGTATACCTTTTTTTTAAAAAAAGCGCAGAAAAACCCCAAACAGTATTAAGGTTTACCTCAAACTGCCTGACTGGTCGTTTTTATGGACTTATTGAATCCTCTATTATTCAAAGTCAAGTCAAAGGTGGGGTCAGGGCAGAGACTGTCATTTTGACAGATCTTGGGTTTAGCTTAAATGCCAGCCTTTTGAGCTTCAGGAGTTGTTTAGTGTTAAAAAAAAAAGTAGTATGTCATGTTAATAAGTTACAACTTCAGATTCTGTTTAATATTTGAATAAGTCCTTGTGGTTGAAACAAGAAACAAAGTACTAGAAAATTTAATAAATGTTGCCATTTGTGTGGACTGGAATAACAGGCATGTTTCCTTAAATCATATTTAATGAGATGAATTCTACTTGTCTACATTTAAATTTTTTTTTTTAATTTTAAAGACCCCCCTCCCACAAGATTATGAAAGATAATTATTAACTGCAGAGATCAAGAATGAAAACAGCTTTTTTAAAAAAGATATTTTCAGTTAAAACAGTGAAATCAGAAGCTTTGCTGTAAGCTTAAGTAGGTGTGTTGATTACACCCACAGCTTGGTCTTTTGTTTTGAGGTATAAGGTATTAAAGATTTCCCCCTATCTCCAGCACATGTACACACAAGCATACAATTAGATAAGCCAAAAAAAGTTTCATGAAATTCTCTTACTGCATTAAGTTTCCCTTTTTGAGCCCACTGTGTATGTGTCTTCCAGACCAGCTTGACAACACGCCAAAGCCTTTTATTTTGTGGCCCGACTTTTAATCTGTTCCAGACATTTTTCAGCCAGAGAGCTCAAGTGTAACTGAAGGGGAAGGGGGAGGAAAAATGTGTGGGTTTCTCTGATCTAGAGTGACAGCAAATAGAGACAAGCTGTTAGCTGCTGGATTTGAAGTTCTCCTTGAAATATGAAGTTCTGTATAGTGGATTATATTTATCTCTGCCAAAAAAATATAAACTGTCCCCTTATTGCTGACCCTTTGAGCCATGCAAACACAAATAAATGGTGAGGGTTATTGTTTTCAAGGATTTGGGGTTTGCTTTTTCATATTCTCCAAATGTATTAAAGTATTGACCGTTAGCTAAGTCAATATGTATCTTTTATTTAGCCTCTTCGAATGGAAGATATACATCTCTGTAGAAGTGTAATTTTCTTAACCTCTTTAAATGTCAACTCCTTTTATATTTGTATTTTAATCAGATTCTTTAAAATTAAAAGTTTACCAGTCCTTTCACGTTTCTAATGAAGTTAATAAATTATATAATATTAAGAAATAAAATGCTAATTTGTTGGGGATTGGTTCTTTTTAAATCTGATTTTCTTGGTCTTTAACACTTAAAAACTGTATTTTAGAGAATTTATTAGTAATTTATTTAAAAAGGATATCAAATGGTAGTATAGATGCACTAATACTTGCTGAACTTTTTTAAAAAAGGGTTTTATATTGTTTGTTTTTTAAGGAATCATATTAAGAATGTGTTTTTAAAAATATGGGTCCTTGAGTATTATGGGAACCTTTTAATTATTTCATATAAACATGTACAAGAGGCTTTAAGTTTGTTCCTTGGAGATTTTGTACCAGGGTCTCAAGTTTAAGTATTTACTTTATATTATAAAATTACTGTTTTATATAGTACAGTTTTATGAGTATTTAATTCTAATGCTCTAATGAAAACAGGGAAATTATAGTTCCTTTTCTTCAAAATTAAAAAAATATATATCTACTTTGTGAGCTGGGTGTGGTGACGCACACCTGTGATGATCCTAGCACTTGGGAGGCTGAGGCAGGAGATTGCTGAGTTTGAGTCCAACCTGGGCCACAGAGTGAATTCAAGGCCAGCCTGAATTACAGAGTAAGACCTTGTCTCCAAAAAATAAAAATCTACTCTAAATGCTAACAGAGCTGGGTGTGGTGGCCTGTAATCCTAGCTGAGTCAGTAGGATCACCAGGCGTTCAAGGTCAGTCTGGCCTATATACTGAGCTTTGAGGCCAGCCTGAGTGGGATACATAGGGAGAACCTGTCTCAACAACAAAAACACAGTCAATGAACTGATCTTTCTATAATATTATTGTCCCTGATTGTTTTTAAAGATACATTAAAATAACGTTAGCAGTCTGTATTTTTTGGAAACAAGTGCTGATGGTACGTACCATTGGGATAAAGATGTTTAATGTAAAGAAAACATAGAAACCAGAGATTTGGAAGAGCTGGAGATTATACCTGTGAGTCTGAAAAGAAGTAATGAACAATACTGGTATGCCATAAAAAGAGTATCCTTTAATTCCTAACTATAATTTTTTGTAAGGGAATGTCAAAGGGAATTAAAACTCAGATGTTGATTAATAACCTATTAAAAATTTAACTGTTGAGACATTCATTAACTTTTTCCTTTTGAAAGACCCAATATTTCTGGTAGCTTTTATAAGTAATATTTTTCTCTTTTTGGGGGTTACTGGGGATTGAACTCAGGACCTTGTGCTTGCGAGGCAGGCGCAGTGCCACTGAAGTAAATCCCCCACCCAGTAATATTTTTCTTTTGATGAAAATGTACCTAATGAGGGGTAAAGATGTAGCTCAGTGGTAGAGCTCCTGCCTAGCAAGCCTGAGGCCCTGTATTCAATCCCCAGTACCAAAAAAGAAAAAGAAAATGCACCTAATGACCAGCTAAATACTTTTAAGTATTAATGTTTTAATGATAAGAAAAAACACCAAAGACTTTAGAAACTAAATGTTACTTCCTTAATGGTGTCTTGGGTAGAGGGAATGTAGTTATTTGAATTTTATCCATGTGCAAATCTCTTGACATCTGTGCATTAAAATCAATATGTTTGTTTGATTGTTTATTTATACAACTCTTAAATCTTTCTGCTGCTGGGCACAGTGGCACAAACCTTTAAACCCAGCTACTGTACTTAGGAGGCTGAGGCAGAACGATCACAAGTTCTAGGCCAGCTTAGCCAATTTAGAGAGACCCTCTCAAAATTTGAAGAACGCCTGGAGAGTTCTTCAACTCAGTGCTAGAGTTCTTGCCTAATTGGTACGAGGCCCTGGGTTTAATTTCCAGTTAAAAAAATTTTTTTCCTAGTCTGTCAATATTTGATTGTGGTCTATATTAACTACCAATAATAGAGAGAAAACGAAGTTTCATTGTGTTTTAGGTAAAAAGAACTGTTGCTAACTAAAAATTACTAAATTTTAAGCCTTACAAAATTTGGCCCGAAAAGGACTTTATGATTCCTCTAATCTCTCTTTCTCAGTGGAAGGTATGCTAGCATTCTGGGTATTGCAGAACACTCACTAAATGCCTGGCTCACTAAATGCTATAGAGGTGTACCTGGTCATGATTCTCTAACCATCACCACATTAAAAAGTAGTAATGCCTAGAGAGGTAAGGAATACTCCCCCAAACCTGAGTTCTCTGAGGTCTAGAGAAACAGTAACCTATCTAAGATTATATAGGAAAGTGACAGAACCAAAACCAGGATTTCTTTGACACCGATTATTTATAAGACCTTTAGATTGCATGAAGTTATCTTTTAGAAACATGCCTAGTACCCCATACACCAGTACTGTTACATAGAAATTTCAAAGGGAGAAAGAGGACGCTAGTTAATTCACCTGTATCTTATATCGTGACTGATCTTGAGGGAATTATCCAAAGATCATGAGTTTCTAATTATAGAAGAGAATCATAAGATCTCTGATTGGAACAGATTTTCAAACTTTTCTTATCTACTTGAATTATCTATGCAGTTCATTCCTCATCTCTATCACATTCTTAAGAGACTGTCTTCCAGTTTGACCTTTTTCTTGATTGGCTTCCAGCATTATAGGGCAGTCTGTTCTAATGATCAGAAAGTTTGTGTCCCTTTATTACCCAGAAATTTATTTTGCTTCACTAATCCTTTCAATATTCTCTTCTAATTGCAGTTTCCCAGTTT